TATAATAACTCTTTTGGGAAAATTCCATCAAGCACCTAATTGGAGAGCTTTACTGCTTCTGCTTATTTATTTATTTATTATTTATTTATTTCTTTTGGGTAATTCTGCACTCTGTGGGCCTCCTCTAACACTAACATGCTCCGGTGATGAAAGACCTACAGATGGTGGTTCCAGTACAATCAAGACAATGAAGATGAATTTTGGAAAGAATTTAAACCCAGTATGGAACTGGAATGATGGCTTTTGGCTTTCTGGGAGTTACGGCTTTAAACTTCGACCATGCATGGAAACATGCTTGCTTCTGCTTGTTTGACCTTGACTACATGAAGATCTGCCTCAGTAACTTAAAGGCAGTACTTGGTTTGGTGGTAACAGTTATTGCTACCAGATTGCAAGAACATTCAACTTGTTACCCTGGAGCCCAACGAAGAGGGTATGTTTTAAGTTTTTTTATAATTTTGTCATCTTGTTCAAGTGAACTACGTACTTCATTGAAAGTAACAGACAAGTCACCTCCGCTTTGTTTTTCAGGTGCTTCTTCAGAATTCAAGGACTTGATGTTTTCTTGTGAAGTGAAATTCCAAGGTAAGTTTTGTTATCTCAGGAAAAAAGAGTAAAATTCCAGGCTTTCTTGGCTACCACAGTCCTCAAGACCACCTTTTTTTTCCTTTTTTGTGTGCTAAATTATGCTTTATGTGTGTTTTATTGTATCATTTTGTGTTTTCCTTGTTTTTATTCCACCATCTAGTTTGTAAGAATGAAGAACAAGCTAGCAGCAACAGAAATAAGACTGAAATCTGAATTCTGCAAGTTTGATGCCCTCACTCTTATTGACATGTTTTAGTTGATAGAGTGGTATACTTTAATCAAATTATAAAAATGAGATAAATTAGATAGAAATCATGCTAATGATTTTTTCTTTTTTCTTTTTTTCTTTTTTTCTTTTTTTATTTTTATTTTTATTTTTGATTTAAGGAGCTCTTGCTTATAATTGCAATCAAAGGTCAGTCTTCTTTTCTTTGTTGCATTCTCAATAACTTTAATAGGATGCTTCCAGAAAACAAGATTTCCAAAGTTGGTTAATAAGACAACCAGTCAATGGTCTTCCATTTCTTTAACTTGATTGTGTTTCACAGGCTCAGTGTTGAATTGTGCTGCTCCAGCCTGACTTTTTGTTAAAATTCGTCAAACTGGTATCTTTCTTTAATCTTCTCCCTGCACTAAAGGTTTTCTCCTTTTTGTTTTACAATATATTAAATTTCCTTGACACAAACAATTTCACTTCCTCTTGATGAGATTTTTATCCTTAAGAATTGCATAACATGTCTAGTCTCACTGTATGTATGTTTTGATGGAATTTGGAACCAAACATTTAGATTGCTAAAAATACCTCCTTAAATTTAAACTCTACTCTTTCTTCCTAAATAATCAGGATACCTTAGGGAAAAACTGATTGTAAACTAGTTGTGCTGAAATGAACCCTGCACACTTATATGAATTCCCTCACTTAGTTCATGCCTTTACATTGTATTCTCTTATTTCTCCACTTCCCTCAACGTTCCTTTTCCTTACAATGCTTGCACTGCTCCACTTGCTACACGATCAAAATGACATGAGAGTGATGCTAGCAAATGGAAAAATTATGTAGAAAAAGACTGTTATAGAGAGTGAAAGACAAAGCCCTCCTCAACTTTGAACAAGGTCTAATTGATGACCAGTTCTGGTCTAATTTATGGTTCACTTTGAATTTTTTACATTCCCTTTTAACATCTGTTCATTGCATTCCATTGTAGCTGTTCATATAAGTAGAAGGGTTCCAAAACTCAGACAGCAGAACCAAATGGTTAAGTTTCCACAATTTTTCTTTGACAGTCTTCATTTTTTTTCTGCTTGATCTTGATTTTGTTATTTTCACTCAAAAAATGATGGTTTTGGGTAGAGGGACCTCCCTGCTTGTCTTTTTAATTGTGATTTTACTACAGATTAGAAGGGCTGTTGGACTCAATTCAACAGCTGGAGATCATGAAGTTAGGTGCATAGAGAGGAAAAGACAAGTACTTCTTGCATTTAATCAACGTTTGGTTGATGACTATGGTGTGCTTTCCTCCTGGGGAAGCGAAGAAGAGAAAAGGGATTGTTGCAAATGGAGAGGAGTTCAGTGTAGCAAAGCAACTAGGCGTGTAATTGAGCTTATTCTTCAGGATTGCTCTTTAAGAGGTAAGTCATGTCGTTTCCTGTTCGAGTTGCAGAGTTTTAACTTATTTGTACCTTAGTTGAATAGGCTTTAGATTATATTCTCTTATCAATTCACTCTACCCAACTAAAAAATATCTTGATCCCTCTTCTTGTGGTTCTGGTTTAGGTGGACATCTTCTCAGTCAGTTAGGGAACCTCACAAGTCTGCAACTTGTTGATCTTA